CACCCAGAGCAATGGGCGGAACCGTTAACAAACGAACATACGTGCACCATATAAACATGAGGTGTCTGTCTCACCTCCCAGACACCTCAACTCACCCCTTCCACCAGCGACACCCGGCAGCTCCCAAGACGCGATCAGAGACTGGATCTGTTGTACGCTGGGATTATCTCCGTATAACACAACCTCTCTTAGCTCCCAAACATCCAAAATAGAATATATACTATATGCTGGAAACTCACGACTCACACTTATACACTTATCATCACACAACAGGCACTGCCTCCCTCTATGCCAACCCAGTTCCTTATTTAGCCCATGTGTGCCTGACCTGAACTTAAAACGTTAATCTAGACCCAGCATCACTTTTTCCATGCAAGTACTTTTTCAACTATACCACCTTGTCAAATGTCTTATACAATAACAGCTTTACTTTGCTATTTAGCCTCTCTTCAAACTTTCTTAATCTCCCTCTCATCATTTTGAATATCATGCAACCACTCTGCCTTGTCAAGACCTAGTGATGAAAAGAGATCATCAATGGCCTTACTCCAGCACTGCCTCTGCCTGCCTCTCCGTGGCTTAAAATTCCATTCTTGATTGAAAAGCTTCTTCGGATATCTATTACCTGGCAATGCCGCTACCTTATACCACCACTTCAACTTATTATTATCCCTACTCCCTTGTAACGGTATTAAGCCCCATATCCCCACTAACGGTTTCATTACATGTCTTAGACGAACACCCAAGAATTTTCTTAGTTCTTCCCAGTCACGGACTCTAACACAGCTGCCTGAGTCTTATGGCTTCCCACACCTACTCTAAAGTTGGCCTAACCACCACCAGCAAAACAACCTGCGAGCACTCAAATTAATATCCCTATTACTAACTACACTATGCAACTGATTATTTTCCTTCTACCATTGTCGAACACATTCTTTATAATTATATATGCACATCCCATGCAGCAGTACTAGTAAAATCAGCAAGCAAGTATGTGTATTAAAATGAAACAACACATAGTAATGAAATTTTGTAAGAATGTAGATATCCGTCACCCGAAGAGACTACGATGCAAAAACAAAACTAAAATGAATGCCTTTTTAGCCCAAGGCAACACCCTTGACATACACTTACTGTTACAGATAGTCTAGGCAAAACATGCTCACCCCATTTCCAAGCACCATCCACTGACTCCCTAGCGAATACCATCACGGCACTCTTACTCACATTAGCCTTTAGCCTCCATTTCCGACAGTAAGCATGCACATATTATAAGCAACTGTAACTGATCCTTAGACTCACTGACACCAACGAAGTCACCTGCAAACAAAAGTCCTCCATGTCTCCCACCACTGCTTAAATCAATCCAAACCTCGGCTTCTTCTACCTTCCTCAACAACCCATTGATAAATGCGGAAAATAAATTTGAGATAAGCTACATCCCTGAGCTACTCCCTGCTCCACATCAAATGCCTCTGGCCGTTCCCCATCCAACAATACGGCACTCTGAATACTCGTACATCCTCTTTAGGACCCTCCACACCTTCCCTCTTACCCCAAATTGGCACAACTTTAACTGCAGGCCATTACACCACACACTATCGTATGCTGCACATCTAGAAAGTATGCATAGGTCTCCTTTCCGACCTTTAGTCTACCCTGGATGAGTTCATTCAGCGTGTATATTATCAACACAACCCCTTCCAACCCCAAAACCAGCCTGACCCTCATGCAATGCTTTGCCCTTGTCCAGATGCTTCACCAACGTTTTGTTCAATACCTTACAAAAAAAAAAATAAAAACAAAAAAAAAACGAAAAGAGAATAATAACTCTAACGAAAATAACCCAACAAAAAAAAGAATTAAAGCAAAGTCAGAAATGCGAAAGGCAAAAAAAACAAAATAAGAGCATTGATAAAATAAAGATATACACAAGAGAGCTAATACAAATATAAAAAACAATTTAAACATAAAAAACACAACAAAAGACACCATGAGAATAAAAAATTAATAAACAGGATTAAAAAAAAGTAAAAAAAAGAAAAAATAAAAAATTCATGATGAAGAAAAAAGAATCACAAAAAATCCAAAAGAACAAAAAAATTCCAAAAACTAAAAAAATAAAGAGACATAAAAAAAAAAAAGTGGTAAAAAAAAAACAGAAAAAAAAAATTCATAAAAAAAATACATAATAAAAAAAAAGAGCAAGATAAAAAGAAACAAAAATGAGAAATAAAGCTAATACATATACAAATACAAAGAAAAAACCTAACTAAAAAAAAATCAAACAAAGTAAAAAAACAATCATAAAAAACTTAAAATAGAATGAAAAAGGAAAACAAGCGAATGAGAAAAAAAAAAAAAAACGAAAAATTAACAAAAAAAAAAACAACAAAAAAAAAAAAAAAATCATCAAAAAAAAAAATAATAAAAAAAAAAAGACGAAAAAAAAATAGAAAAAAAAAGACGTAAAAACAAAAAACAAAAAAATATGAGAAAGAAAGAAAGATAAATAGAGAGAAAGCGAACAAAATAACAACAATAAAAAGGAAAATAAAAAAAAAGAAAAGCCAACAAAAAATAAAAAAAAAAAGAAAAAAAAAAATAAAAATAAAAAGAAAAAAAAAAAAAAGAAAAGAATAAAAAAAAAAAAAACAAAAAAAAAAAATCAAAAAAAAAGACCTTCCCAATCACACTCAGCAGAGTGACGCCCCTATAATTCCCAGGATCCTCATGTTTGATGTTTGTAAACAACAGCAAATAGCCTCGGGCACTTTTCTACTTCTTAAAACTGTAATGGTAGCACACATTGAGATGCAACCATGTGTAAGTGTGACTCACGTAAGAGGTATGTGAACGAAACTTCGTATACATAATGTATTCAATCACCAACATAAAAATCACATCATAACAGGTTTGATGTTTGTAAACAACAACAAATAGCCTCAGACATTTCTTCACTTCTAGCACCTATTGAGATAAAACCTTGTACGAGTACCTATTTCCACGACTACATGTGAAAACAAGCGAAAAAGCCAAAATGTATAATCGAACCGGGCTTACCGCGACCTGATCCGCTTTCTCTGCGTACCTAAGAAGTCCCAGCAAAGGGCGTGTATTGACTCCAGCGTGTAGTGTCACTAGCCCATGTCTGACTCTCTGTGAGCCACTTGCGTGGAGACCACGACTGTAAACGCATAGTGATAGCCTAGCCCACTAATTAGTGGTACTGCACATGTGCAGTGCGCCAGTGGTTTGCACTTTAGTGTTTTCATTAGTGATAATTACTACCGATATTGCAAGCGAATGTGCTTGACTTTCCTGCTGTTGGAACATTTTTGAATGTTTGTGCCAGAACAGCAAAGTGTTCGTGCGCGGTAAGCAGAACTGTATGGGAACGACTGCTATCAAAATGTGAGACTTAAGCCTCCAACTTGTACTATAACCAGTTGAAGCACCGTTGCGAGTATAGTATGGGGATTTTCGAACTCGGATGCGGTCTCGAAGCCTGATAAGGCACTCAGCGTAACTTATTGTACTTTTCGTGGGTGGATCAAAGGCACCGCCAGTTGCTTTATTTGTTGTAAAACATCACTAAATGCGAGTAGAAAAGCAGTCATATAGCACCGCCGAGTTGCTGGGAGAGACGACCACCTCGGACTGGCTTTGTTACTGGTCGTTGCCTTTGGATCACCCACGGTACAATAAATAGTAATAAGGGACGTGCTGTACTCCCATAAAAGTACTCGAGGCTCGTCCCGATAGGCTAAAACACTTGGCTTCTTCTCGTGCTTTATGACTATCTAGACCACGCCCTCTCGTACCTATATTTCATGTACAGCACTACCTTCTGTACTCAAAAAGAATGCTCATATACCACAGTATTGCACATACAACAGTGAAGTAGTCCTGAACCACCACCGAGGTATTGCTTAGGCGGAGCATCGGTCCTTGGGACAGCGGGCGAGCACTGTAGTCTGCATTCTAGCAGTGGCACATTTCCCGATTTTGTAGCCCAGGAGACACCGCTACGCTGTGGCAGGTAGTCCTGGGCTACAAAATCATTAACCCAGGGCATCCTTCAGTGGTAATGGATATCCCCACGGCCGTATGACAACGGCATTATCCGGTACCGCTTTAGAATATATTGACATCGATAATTATGGCATATACGAAATCAAGATCCCGACCGCATTGTGGCACATGAAATTCAGAACCCGCTTAACTCAATTGGGATGACAGCGCAGCATCTGAAATTTGTTTTCTTACAAACACCTGTGGGTTAACCATTACTGATAATGTTCTCTCGTACCTTTATTACGATTTATTACATGTTATTGAAGTGTGAATTGCATTTTGCTGTATAACTTTTGTCATCCCTATATACTATGTACCGTACTTGGTTATATGGGTATGAGCTTGTAAGACAGGGCATGAAAAAATAGCAAAAACAGCAATTGTTTTAGCCCCCTGTAAAATGATTTATTCAGTTGACATGTGCACACTCACTATTTCTGACGGAGCATCATAAGGATTGACCCAAGATTGAGCTTCTACGTAGCAGATTTACTGCGTAAAACTTATAGCTTCCTCAATTTTGCTTGCATTCAGTTTAGTGGGACCAATGTTACGTCAGTAAATCCATCCAAAATTTGCAACCCTTGTGTGGAACTGCAGGAGTGGGGAGGGGCCTAGGCTCCAAACCCACGAATGTCTGGGCATGGTCAGCAGCACATACCAGTGGCAAAGCCTTGTGGGGATGAATCTCATTAGTTCAGAACCACAAGTGCTGCGCTCCTGGTAGCCTTTATAAACTCGTGATGCCAGAGAGAGAAGTTGCGGTATGCTCTGCTGATGAGGGCCAACAAGCTCAAAACAGCTTTCCAGAGCTCCGCATCTTTTTTCTCTTGACATCACATGGTCTAATACCTTCATGTGAGCAAACATGTAAGGCTGCCCCTCCTTGAGAAACTTGGTAACTTTAAAACTGCAATGTTCATTACTTTGCAGACGCTGCTTTTAAATAAAGTTTTTCCAAACATCCCCAAATATTCGGCATAGTCCTACCCCATCATAACAGTACAGTTTTAAAGGACTCTTTGACTGTGGATGAAGTAAGTGAAGAAAAATGACACTGAAAAATACACAACACATCCAAAAGTCTCAAAGAGGTGTACTGGCCCTACATTTTGCTGTTTCCGTTTTTCAGATCATATTACTTACTGATTTCGAAGAAATACTCTTGGTTGGCTTAGTCAATCAAAATTCCAACCATAAAAATATTAGACATCGGTAGACGCTCTATATAGGGGATGGCACGAGTCAAATCTCACATGATCCGCCTACAAAACACCTCTAAACGTGAAAATGACTCCCTATGCTTTTATAAATCACTAGCAATAATCTACAGGCCCATATCTAGCTATACATATGCCCCAAGACTTCCTAAGTTCCCTCAGTTCTCCAGGCGAGAATTTGCTCATTCTTTTTTTAAAATCCCGCTATCTCCATACTGGAACGAGTTGAACCGCTGATTTTTTCAATAAACGGCTGCAAATTCGCCGGAGGTGTGCACAGATATAAAGCAATCATTTTTTCCCCTGCCACAAGTCACTACCGTTGGTCGTGGAGCTCTTCCATGGGGAGCACTGGAAGACGCCATTTGCTGCTAACTCAGCAATGATGCATGGGGTGTTGTCCTAATGCCGCGTGCGCGTCGGAACTCCACAGTCGTTGCCATGCCATGCCAACGCCTTCCACGAGGCCTTCCACGTAAAAAGTAAAAGCATTTCGGGAAGCGTACAGCTAACCTGCATTTTTGGTTTGCGCAGGTAGCAAATTTGCAAGGGTCTGTGTATACTGTTATGAACCGGCGTCGCCACTGCATAAGGCGCAGCGTGTTGTATGCCAATATTTGAGCCTCCATACATTGTACGAAACCACAACTGTGTATAAAGATGCCAAAACCTGATTACATCTTACTAATACATTGTCAACTGTGCGTTATGCCCCTGGTTCAGGGATCAGCAGCCCATTAGCTATTGCTATGCTAGACCTTCACAGCAAACATGACACAATCCATTTATTTGTGGGCAAGGTATCAGACAAAGATATAGGGATGGTGTCATGTAGTTTTGTGTATGTTTGCTGTGTAATGACCCTTGTTTCTTCCTTTTTTGGTGCTTCAAGCCATCCCTATATCCCCTTTCATTTTCAAGAAATTATTTTTCCACTTGTATATACATGACTGACGTTTCGGCTGCAGTACCTCAGCTTTCTTCAGAGTGAATGAAATGATACAGTGACTTATTTATACAGTTCTGGGTCTATGGTTATGAGCAATTGACTGGTAGCACATCATCTTTCATCAACATTTCGTAGAGATGGTTAAGGAGTTAATCCTTACTTCCAGATGAGGTTTGAGTTTTGACATCAAGTCGTTGTTTACCAATGTTCCAGTAGCTGAAGCACTGATGGTTGTCCGCTGGAGACTCATGGCAGATGACACACTTATAGACAGAACTCTACTGACATCGGAACAGGTCATCCATCTTCTCGAGCTCTGTCTAAAAGAAACATATTTTACCTTTCATGGAACTGCTATGGGGTGTACGGTTTCTCCAACTGTCTCTAGCATCTATTTTGAGACGTTCGAAGAGCTTGCTCCAAGTGCAACACCATTAGCTCCCAGAAGATTTGTGAATGACACATTTTGTGTCTTGAAGAAAACAGATGTGAGCAAGTTCTGGACCACCTAAATAGTTTGCGATCGTCCATCCATTTCACTATGGAAATGGAAAGTGGAAACTTTCTATCATTCGTAGACGCCATATTGACAAGAAGAAGTAATGGGAGTATGGATGTTGGTGTCTATAGGAAACCCTCCCACACGGACCACTACCTAAACTACTCCTCTCACCATCCAGTACATGTGAAACGAGAGGTAGCCTCAGGCTTCTTTCATCGGGCCAGGACAATTGCCCAAGGACAGAATGTCAGTGAAGAGGAGAGTCATGTCTGTGAGGCTCTGAGGGCAAATGGCTACCCTGGACATCTCATTGCATCATCAATGAAACTAAGAAAGAAGAAAGATTTTAAGGAGGATCCAAAACATACTACTTCCACCTGTTTCGAGCCTGAGTGAGGGCCTGAGAAAGATATGTCATAAACATGGAATTCCGACAGTATTCACTACTCCTACTACCCTCCACCAGCAACTAACCAGGGTCAAAGACATAGAACCTCCTCTCAAAAGATCCTGGGTGGTATATCGAATTCCATGCCGCTGTGGGTTGGCATGCATTGGGGAGACAAAGAAAATGCTGGAGACCCGTCTGAGAGAACATAGACAAATCGGCCATGGCAGAACATGTTTGGAGCCACCATCACCAACTGCAGTGGGATGAGACATCCATCCTGGATAAGGACAACAACAAACATGTTCTGCGCATCAAAGAAACCCTACATATTATGTTGGCAAACCCACAAACACTGGAAAACAGAGACCAGGGCACAGTCATCTTGGATTGTTGGAAGCCAGTCCTAGACCTTGAACTGTATAAATAAGTCACTGTATGACTTGATTTGATGAAGGCTGAGGTACTGCAGAATTTTTATTTTGAAGAATACTCTAATATTGTATTGTCCTTGGTGACTTTCTCCAAACAGAGAGCAGTTTGTTGATTAATGAGGTAGGCCACTTGTTATGTTGCGGCCAGCTTTTGTCTGGGAGTTGTAGTATAACTCAGTGCTTTTGTGCTCAGAGTTTGATTTTGTATTTTTCCCTTCTTTTGAAAGCCGCTTTAGATGCTGTTTTTCCTTTCCCACTCTATAGGTACTGTCCATCGATAGAATCAAAAGTTCTGCGATTCAAAGGGAGATCTCATCAAGTATGGCTTGAACCAGAAGGTTTGTAACAAGCCATAGATTGTGCAGGGGGTGGTATAAGAGAAAGGTGTTGTGTGCTCTTACACTGACAGTACCTGTACTTTCTCCTTCACCTTATCTTAAGCTCTGTGTATAGGTTGTGTCACATCCACAGATATGGAAAGTTTGGAACATGGGTAGTGTCTTATTAAAAGTGGTAAGTCAGCAAGACACCTTTGCCTAGGGCTAACCAACAATGTCCTAAATGAGTCAACTGGGGGAGTGCCCTGAATTCCATGTGGTGCATGAATGGCTGTTAGGGATGTCAACAGTGCATGAGGAAAATGTTGCGTGCTTGCATTTACGATGAATTAAACACCTTATACCATCGATTTTTCCCAAAAAGGAAGACAAAATGCAATATTAAAGATTGTGATGCTGCAGTTGAGAAAACAACTTGCCTAGAGGCAGCACGTGAGCTTTAGAGCATTGTACATATTAACCTTTAAAGTGGCGGCCTGCGACACAATATCATTTAGTGCATAGCGTGCTCAAATTGTGAAATCTGATTGGTCCACACGAGGTTATTGATTTCCCGTAGTATACCTGGGATGCTCCGTGGTAAACCATGTAAAATGTAAATGACAAGGTAATGTACAACATCTACAAAAACCTGTAGCTTTTCATACACAGAAATATCTTTTTTTGGTTTCAACACTAAGCACAGAGACAAGAAGTCTGGGCCTAGCTATACGTAAGTGCCTGTACGCTAGCGGTACGTCACGCCCGTGTATACGTGTGCGTAGAGTAGGCAGAGCCCTTTTCCGCGAAGCGCAGCAGACGATGAGCGAGTGCTGTAGCTTCTCCTACCGTTTCTGGCTCGCCGCTGGTGGCTGGAAGTTTGCTTGAGTCTCTCAATCTGTCGCGTCTTCATGTATTTCAGTTGCCTGGAAACGGGAGCTGTGAGTATGCGGATTTGGGTGCTCTGCAATAAACATGTTAGTTACTCCGTATACTCGGGAACTACGGGATTTCAATGAACCCTCAGGCCATCTGCGTACAACGCGGAGGCCCTCTGGGTCATTGAAATCCCGTAGTTTCCTCAAACGGAGTAACTAGCCTATATAATGTTAGAACATCCTCGTGTACTTCAAATGGCAGCAGTGCTTATTTTTATTGAAGAAAACCTTACAACAGAAGAGAAGGAATCATCATAGTCGATTCCGTATTTCTGGACATGTCCCTTGACCACCAGTCTTGCTTTGAACCGTTTCACAATTCCACGACTGGTATGTTTAACCTCGAAGACCCATTTACACCCAAACGGTTTCCTGTCATCGGGCAGTTCCACAAGGCCCCATGTTTGATTCTGATTTATATTCTGAGTCTGCTGCAAGTTTCCATTCCTCACTTGATAAAGCTTGTTTAATAGATTTTGCTCCTCAGTCTAACTTACATGACATGCTACGTGTTGAATGTCATCTCTTCGTTTCATTGAAAATCACGTCTCGACGAATGAAGACTTTTGATGACTTTTCTTCTAGAAATCCATAGCCTTCAGATTCATTGCTGTATTGAACAAGAGACTTCTTGTTTTTTGAGCATCTGGTACGTGTGCATAAGCAGTGCAACCAAACACTCCCAGGTTGCTTACATCGGTTGTTTCCCATCCCATACTTCGTACAGTATCTTGCAACCTGCGATTGCTGTTGTTGGAACTCTGTTCCTAACGTAGGCTGCACTGGCCACAGCCTCTGCCCAATAGGAGTTGGGTAAGCAGGCATGAGTAATCATAGACCGAGCTGACTCCATGAAAATTTTGTTCATTCTACTCCATTCTGCTCCGGAGAGTAAGGTATTGTCATCTCGTGCCGAATACCTTTTGCTTCAGGTAGCATCTGCACTCCTTCACTACCATTGTCACTCCATAGTGTCCCAATTGGTTGACCATTGTCATTCATGCATGACTCGAGCTTCATACTCCTTGAACTTCTTGAAGACTTCGGATTTGTAGACAGCACATCACCTTGAGTGATTATCAATGAATGTCACAAGTACTTCTGTCCGCCAATCAATTCTGTGGGAAATGGGCCACATACGCCACTGTGAATGTAGTTGTAGCTGCGTGAAAATTTTTCTCCCACGGCCTTGAATGGTCTTTATTTCATCTTGCCCTCCACACATCAGGATATTTGGCATTTCTGGGGAACCAGTTGCTAATTCTTTGTGATCAAGTTACTGCCCACACAGTGGTGCCACAGGTTAGCTTCACTCTCTGGCTTTGAAAATGCTAGTGTGACTTGTTCAGAAGGGAGTGCACAGCAATCCAGCACGTATAACTTGTCAACCATGACGACGCTCCGGTGTCAGCGGACAAAAGGATTACGGTTAGTTGCTCAAAGGACGGACACCGCAGCTGTCCAACTCCAGACTGCAGTGTGACACAACGATGTCTATCGGAGATCTAACCTGTTAGCAGCCGTTTTGAGTGATCTGATCTTATTTCACTCTACTCTACACAATGGTACGAAAGTTAGATTTTTTTATAGCTACCTGCTCTGTATAGCATCTACGTACAAGTGTACGAGTAAATATAAAATCCTTCGAAAAAAAAGTGTAGGGATGTTGGTTACATTTTAAAACTGACATTTTTTGCTCATGTAAATTTTCCTCCACACAAGCCCTATTATTGTCACGAAGCACGAGTGATCAGCTATGACTCGTTTCCTATGCCCGTATAATATCCTCTCTGACAGGTCCTCAGTTTGAGAAACGCCTGTCTAAACTGCACAACAACAACAACAACAATAATTTTGAAAACTGACGTTTTTGAAGATATGAAGTACGGATTATGCGATGATACATGCTCTTTGTGACGATATGTATCAGTCTGATGTGTGAAATGTTGGATCTGATTGAAACTGAAAGTGAAACATTATAATCTCAAATGTATGGGCATAATACAGGACAACCTGTGCCATCCCTATATACGTACTCAGTACTACCGTACTTAGTGATATTCTGTTGTTTAAATTTACGACGTTCACAACCATGTTAGATTACACATAAACACTTACCGGCTGAGTTGCCCCGGTAGCTCAGTTGGTAGAGCGCTCGCCTACAGAGCAGAGAGTTGTGGGTTCAGTTCTAATCCCACCTACCTAGGGCAGCTCTTCCTTTTTCCTTGGAGTTGTCCTGGATTTCGTTGACTTGTTTGCCTTAGCCTTTGTATCTCACCTTGTCTTTGTAAGGATTAGTCACCTCAAAGCGGTGTCTTCTGAAGCAGGTTTAGATTATACCCGAGGTGCAGCGGAGGGGATTATCTAACCTGCTGAGGTTGTCAAAACGAAGAAACCACTTGTGGTGACTATTTTAGACCACAATAATTGCTATGGTAAAGGGGAGTAGTCAGTTGCCCACACCCTCATTAGCCATTAGCAGAGCTGGTGTCTCGCTCAGTTGCTGGCCTGCAGTGATGCATGCGGATGCTCTCTCTTGCTGGATTCTTCTCTCCCCCCTCGCTCGTTTTCTAGCGTGAGTAAGCTAGTATTCCAGTGTTCTCAAGCGATGGGGGTTCTTGTGATAGAGCTGCGTCCAGGTGCGTGGGCATTACCAAAGTGCGTATGCATTGCGAACCTTGCCTGCTATGCATTCGTTGCGTACCTTCTTTAATACTAATTGGAGGGCCACGCGCGGACAACCAATAACCCGTAACGGCCAGCGGATGTATCTTAACTCCAATAAGACACCAACCACAGGTGCCTTAGTGGAGCTGGCTGTTTTGAGTACCTCTAGTGGCCAAATTATGGTCGTCTAATGAGTCGTCTAAGGTAGTTAAATTACCCCGGACTGCTCCTACTTACTGAGTTAGAGTTGGCTGTGCCATAGCGCAGAGGTTTGAGGTTTACTTTTATGTTGTGTTGAAGATTTGAACCTGAGTTGCCCTGGTAGCTCAGTTATAGAGTGCTCGTATAGAGAGTAGAGTGCCGGGTGTTCGAATTCCGCCTAGGGTGGCTCTTCCTTTTTCCTTGAAATAAATTGTCCTGCGTACAGTTTACTTGTTTGCTTTGCCTTTCCTTTATATATAATTATTCTGAGCCACGTCTCACGTGCAAAAATCTTCAAGGCCGCCTCTCCTTGTGCATGGTTCAAAGGTCACGCATATATTGCGGGGGAGGGAGGAGGCTAAGCCTTCTCCCTCCTCCACACGTGCAGGCTCCGTACGTTATTTTTACGTGCGTGGTGGAGCAGCCCGTATACTTCACCTTTTATTGTCATATGCGCACTTATAAACAACAGTCATGTGCGAACGCAAGCATAAAATGCATCTTGCGTGTAGGCGAATCTAGTGTTTGAATGATTCAAAGGGCTTGTTCAATAACTTATAGAATGTACTGTACCTCGCACACACCCTGCACCTTGTGCTGACTTCAAGCAGTCCCCTCACTCCAGTATCTGCCGCTCAGACTGGAGCCGACACAAAATAAACCAGACCTGCCATCCTTGATTGGAGCCCTAGACCTAGTCCTAGTCTTTTCCCCTGGCCGGTCACAGGGCTTCCGTTACAGGTCGGTTTGACCACTATCACGCCAATTTTGTGTGTCTACACGGTACATGAGCATGTTTACTAATGTACCACCTCCCTCATATTCTGAACCGAGTTTCCTCTTTTACTGACGTTCAGCAACAAGTTGAACCCAGGGTTTGGTGGTTAAAGTGGAAAGGGATATGCCTCATTGGGTGTGCTTGTACCCTCTCCTGTGGTTTATCTTAAACGGAATGTGGCAGTATATAAGGGCTAAATTTAGATTTTTTTTCTAAAAACGGAACTGAACTGCATTCTTTCACTGTGCCCCTATTGTTTTGCTCTATCTTTAGTAACTAAATTTAGCCCTTATATACTGCCAAATTCCCGGTTAAGCTCCTGGTATCACATCTTTTATCGTAACAGAAACACAGGATGAAGCAAGTGGCGGTTGATATTTTAAGTGCTCCTTTCTGAATGATGTCTGTCCACAAAAGGCATTTGATATTTGAACCCTTTTCTGCAGGTCTTGGCTCACATATTTTGTACCCAAATGGTATTTCCTGCACCTTGCCTGAAGATGTACAAGTAGATTTAATCCATACACTTCCTGGTTTGGAGAAAGCAAAAGTTATTTACCCAGGTATGGATATTGATTGGCGAGCAGGAGTGAGCTAACGTAATAGATTGTATATATAATACATATTGTATATGTCTGTACGTCATTCGACTGCACGTGTGTTTGGATTATGCACACGATCTATAGGCAATGAGAGAACTCTCATCCACTTTGATGGCATTCGCTGCACTCTATTGTGCCTGACATCGGCTGTACCCTTTTCCAATCTTCGTGGTTCCAAGTTGTAAATTGCAAATAGGCGACGATGGCATGTGCAGATACAGTCATTTTGTGCTCACTGCTGTTCGCAAAAAATGCCTTGCATTCGCCTATCTTGTGTGTTGTTACCCTCGGCCCGCATGTGCAGCGAGGGTACGGTAGTTGGGTCTGTCTGTGTGTGTGTCTGTCTGTTACTCTACATCTCACTTCTCGAGTGTTTGTTCGTCTCACAAAGGATACGACCTACTTAACGGGCAATGGAGGTCAGAATATTTGTGCGGTTTTCTCTGAAACTGCTCCGTTGCAAAGCTAGAGCGCGAACGGGATGGCTTACCACGGTCTGGTCGATCCGCATGCTCTGCGTACCTCGGAGGCACCAGAAGATGCAACGCATGGCGTGTATCGCCTCTCGCATGCTATCTAGTAGTGTAGTTAGCCCGCGTCAGACTCTGCGCGAGCTGGCAAGAGACCGCTAAAACTAAACCCAGCCCATCAATTAGTGGTACGGCGCATGCGTTTGACTTACGCGTGTGCGTCACAATGCGCCGAGGGTTTGCACTTCAGTGATTTTCATTATTTGTAGGTTATGGAGTTGAGTATGAATGTATTGATGCACGTCAATTGAAGTTAACAATGGAAGCAAAGCTTATTGAAGGACTGTATCTAGCTGGACAAATTAATGGAACAACTGGGTATGAAGAAGCAGCATGTCAGGTACAATTATTTTATCATGACTGAACTGAGATCAAACTGTTGAAGGATTTTTAAATGTTTTTAGAGATCATGAGCAATATTTATTTTGTTTAGGCCAAAGCTGCTGGGAACCTTGCACCTAAGCATGCTTGTATAATGTCTATATATTGTATAATGATTAACTCATAGAATAAGCTTGCATGCAAAAATTCTTCCATGCCCAGTGGTTTCCCCCACACTCATACCATCTCACTAAGGGAGAGAATGTGGAGGGCAGCTTTTGTTGCTTGGACACTGGGTTCTCAGTACCTGGGTCCCCTCTGATAGATGTATGTCTGCTTATGATCTGTAAGGACCCTCTTTTGACCCTACAACGCTTACTAGTGACAGTATGGGCGTTTTGCTGTGCACATAAGACTTAAACTGATATTTTTAACCAACCATAATACATGCCTATTACACAACATCTTATCATAATCATCAGGAATATTTCAAGTAATGCAAAAACAATGGCTGCTAAATCAAAGCCCATGTGAAAATCTTTTAGGATGATTTTTTCCTTACGATCGAGAGTTGAAAACTGAAACTAAACCAGAATCATTCTACAGGTGCATCTTTGAGTGGAGCAATATTGTACCGACTAGCCAACCATCCTGAATGCCTGTATTACGTTTTGTTATGTGAGATATACGATAAGCCAACTAACCTTCCTGAGCACCTTCATTACAGCTAGTGATTGATTTTGTACTTTAGAAGACACATGAGGATAGTGAACACTTTGTTACCCGTTGTGATTGGTTTTTTAACATGCATAATAGGGGAAGGAGAGGACAGTTAACAATCCAGAATACCTTGATTATGAAGCCCCCCCCCCCTTAGACTGATTTTCAGCCATCTTTACTACCAAGATTTATTTGTAAATACCATAAATGAACGTACTGTCAAATGTTTTTCATATTCCTGTGATGCTTGTGGGTGCAGCAGAAAAACGAGGCCAGCTACCTCATAGTTTTGGAGTCCACCAATGGTTGGGTGATCATGTCACCAGGAGTCGGTACGATCGGACTAGTTGGCTGTTAATTTAGCGCGACTGTTTGAAGTTTTTGCTCCAGGTCCATCAGTGGTCACTGTCTCAAATGAGCTGGCAGTTGTGATGGCAAGGCTGCTATGGGTCTAGCCGTGGCCGCAGCATTCCAGTATACGGTTCTTGTGCTAGCAATAGAGTTTGTTTTGCTAGGCCCTCCTGTGGGATGCGTTGACATGGTCATGAGGGATAGTGCTTGTTCAAACACAAGTACATCGGCTCGCAACGCAGTCTCCACGCATGTGAGGGCTACAGTTGCAGCGCATAGTCCCTCTCCTCTGGGTCAGCAGTTCTCTGCTGGTAATGTCAGTTTCTCTTGACCGGGCGAGTAGCATTGGTCTACAGTCGTCATGAAGTCAATATAAGTGTGTATAAAGTTGCTTGACTACGCGCACCGCTGAAATCGTTCATGCATGTATGCATAATCAATGCAAGTTTTTGATCCCCTGGTTTTGAGCAAGTGTTGCTCGACGCATATAGGTCTTAGGCCTGAAATTGTTTTGTGGAGTGATGCACTAACCTTTTCCCTTAAACCAAGTTAGTACCTACGTACATGTGTTATGGTTGGTAAACACTATAAATGCTTCTAGCTCACTTGCACAGAATCAAGGTATGTGCAGTGTTGTTGGTGATACGTACGTACGTATTTCTGGCATTTCCAAAAAATGATTATATACAATTGTAGCACGTTGTTGGTACTTCAAGAAAATGCTTGGTGTCCAGTGAATAGAGGATTTGTGAGCATGATACAAACATGCATGTCAAAATCTTCATTAAGCTAGCCGTTACTCTCATCCATTCTCACTTTAACTGTTTCTGTAATTTAATCAAACAGAATAGTTTTATGCACTCTAGGGAAAGTTTGGAAGATGGCTAGTGGCTCAATAAAGTGGTAACCTAACAAAATGCATGGACCTTTGCCTATGGAGTAACCCAAAAAATGCACCAAATGAGTCAACTGAGGGAGCACTGGTGCACAAATGGCTGTCAGGGAAGTCAACAGTGCATGTGGTACATGTGGTACATGTGGTACATGTGAATGACTGCATGTGTATAAAACAAGTAGCTATAGTAGCTGATCCACATTTCAAACCACACTGGTTCACTTATACCATTTTGAATTTCTATCACATATGAGGCAGTTAATTAGCAAACTAGTTCATTTCTAACATTCAGCTGAATGTGGAGCTTTTCATATTAGGTGTGTAAGCCCCAGGGAGGGGGCGACAGTCTTTATAAAGGCAGACTTCAAATAGGTAGGAAAATTTGCCTACTTACCAACTACTGAACTCACCACATTAGTTATTCAGAGGCCACTGGATGTAAACATGCATTTAACCAGACCAGTTTATTCCTAACATATTCAGCTTAATTTTGAGCTATTCTTAATAGGTGTCCAAAGCCCCATTGACGGGGGAAATATGAAACATATAAACGATGCCTTGCAATGATACATGTCTCTCACAAATCAGCCTACTACTCGATACCCAAACCTACCACATTAGTTGTTCTGGTACCACTAGATTCCTTTGTCGTTCCGCTAATCAATGGTTACTCAAAGACACTATTCTACCTTTCTTTTCTGTGGCACTAAGACAAACTGAACAAAGATGTCTTCTCCAAAAAATGCCAAACGAGCATGTCAGTGTTTAGATACTTGACGGGAAGTTTGCACGCTGGCGTGACGACTCTAGCATTTGGAGCAAAGTAACTTAGTACATACTAGAGTCCCATTAAATAGCACTATGCAAACCCTTGTCGCAAAAAGCTGCCACTTTTGTTGTCAGCTGTGATTCGCACACACCGGCACTGTGCTAATTGATCAGCCGGGCCATGGGGTGTAATCCTTACCATCTTTGACAGAGCCATTTTCTTGCCTTCACAGGCTAGCTACATCAGTAGGTAGCATTTCAAGCAACGCTAGACTGGATGAACATCTGCCGAGTAAGTTCATCCCTCTGCGGTGCGCTGAACGTGCTAAACCTTGTTAAGGTAATGGCTTTTTATGCTGTATACTTCTTGAATGCAGCGTTTCAAGAAAATCACTGTTTTCTTTTCCACGCTCTTAAACTGCTGCCGTTGCTAATAGGTTGCTTCAGCATAGCCGTTGACATACACATACAGACATAACCACCAAGTACTGCACATGCCTGCTTAGGGTTAATTACACTTTCAAGTGATGACAAACTAACTGTGTATGTAGTCTTTATCTCACGTACTACTGCATGCAAGCACTAGTCTTTCATGTATTTATACCATCCCTGTACGTATTCTTATTGGAAAATATTTGTATTTACAGTTTTTCTTGCGAACAATAACCGCTATGGCCAGAAAACCAACCAATATCCTACAATGGTCGCGATGTAATATATTTTTTACTACAGGGACTTGTTGCTGGTGTTAATGCTGCTTTGAAATGTTTTGGAAAGGATGAGTTGATTTTAAAACGGACAGAGTCTTACATTGGTGTTCTCATAGACGATTTGACGTCAGTTGGAGTGTCAGAGCCCTACAGAATGTTTACTAGGTACATAATAAGTTTTTAAAGGTGCTATTGTACGGGTCACCCACAGAGAAGCAATCATGCTACAGTTGAAAAATTTAATCTGGTTTATAAAGACCAACATGCTTCACTTCATCGGTGAGCTTTACAATAACAGTCAAAACATATCATGTTACAAGACTTATTGGCGAGCAGGAGCGAGCCAACCTAGTCGTTCGTTCGAGCGGAATTTTCGGTATATATAATATATATATCGTCCATTCGTACGTCGTGTAAGTGCGCATGCGCGGCTTTGTACGCGCTTCTGTTTATCCGAAACTATTTCCAAATTTCTACACATTTTCACACACAGTGCCTCACCGATCGATCTAGCCACCTAGAGAACTCTCCTCTCCATCGACAGCATGCGTGTATAACCTTGGGTGACTGACCGAGGCTGTATATACCTCTTCCCAATCTTCATGGTTCCAAGGTGCAACTTGCAAATAGTATAATACGCTAGGATTGCTCGTGCACAAACTGCTGCATGCCAGTTGCCTGGTGGACCATGACTGACGAGCTGAAAGCGTATGGTAAGTAGTGTTCTGCTCACCTGCTCACCGTTCTGCCAATATACACGCATGTAACGGTGACAGGTAGATCTGTCTTGCTTCACGAAAGGAAAGCTGTGCGCTGACGGCACGTTATGCAGCCCGAACATCTCGGGCAAATCCCAAGTTGTGTCGCTCCCGCTCGCCAACAATGTTCAACATTTCCACTAGTATACAAACAAATCAGCATTTTATGCTGTGATTAGCATGAGAGCTGCTGATTTTTGAAGATATATCTCAATGCTGCGGGCAATGACACTTACATACCAGTATAAACCAAAGCTTTGCTCCGACCAGCAACGGACACCACGTTTAGACAGCTGCAAAAGAACACCACCTTCCTAGACACTGTTTAGATACCCACTGAACTTTCATCTCTTGCGTGCACTACCGGAAGGATAAAATATGATGGATTTTGAGTAGATATATCCCTTCTCTTCAATATATGAAAAGAGTGGTCAACCATATCAACATCAAAAACCTGAGTACCACACTTCAATAGAAAGAGGTGTTGTTGAAAAGTAATATCAAGGACTTGTGTTGGACTTTTCGTGTCATTTGTGAGACGAACGAACACTCGAGAAGTGAGATGTAGAGTAACAGACAGACAGACAGACACACACACACACACACACACACACACAGACCCAATGAAAAGCACTAAAGTGCAAACCCTCGAGCTCTAGGTAGAATTAAACACAGATGAGACACTTACAAGGCAATTTACAATATGCATGTGTGCCATACCCAAGTATGCCGAATGTTCTCAAATAGCACCCATAGAACCCAGACCACTGGGAACTAGAGTAGGTATGAAAAGTACAGAAGTGCAAACCCTTGACACACTAGACACACACAGATGTTCCTCCATTGCACCCATTATGCTTGCTCCGGTCACTATGTACTGATAATAGACGGGCTGGGCCGTAGTGTCTAAGAGTCTGACATGGGTTACATAGGATTTTAGGCATCGCAAGACTCGAGATTCACCTTTTGTTGCAACTTCCTATGTCTCCCCAGTACACAAGCAGGTGGAGTGCAGTCGAGTAAGTCAGTCATAATGGCTTGTTCACTTGGTTTTCTCGCCATACTTTTGAACTCAGTACATGTGAAGCA